TTAATATTATATAACTTATGATTATCAAGCAATTAATTAAATCACACATTTACATGTAAATCAGGTCAATCGGCATTATCAGGGCATTCAGAAATCAGGACATTATACCCCTTGCAAACTTCAAAAGCAATTTCCAACAATATACATTAGATAATTTAGCCCACACTGAATTAAACTACTTTTATATATGATCCTTAAAAATTATTTAATCAAATTGTAAATTTAAAGTTTTTCTAAGTTGGGTTTATTAGGAGTTTTTATACTATCAGGTCATCAGGACATTATACCCTAAAATCAGGACATTATACCCCTGTCAATTTTCTCTGTCAAATAAAACTTAACAAAAATATTTTATTTAGGAATTTCTTCATGATTCTTATAGAAAATGATGATATTCACAATTTCCAATAAAAATAATACTGGTTATGCACATAAAAACTCTTTATTTCAGTATATTTATGAAATCAGGTCAATCAGGGCATTATACTATCAGGGCATTATACCCTCCCGTATGAACCAAACTCGTCATCATTTTTCCGGATATTGAATATTACTACATGACGCGAAAAAATCATCTTCGCTAGTCAAGCAATGGCGGATCCATGAATCTTGAAAAAAGGTTAGGGTCGGGGTAGGGGGCCCACAGCCACACTACAAAAAAAAGATTTATTAAATAAATATTATAATGTTTATTTTGGCCCTCCTTTCTAAATCACTGGTGCTTAATTGAGGACGGAACCCCCTCCCGATATAGACCCCGGGCCTTTTCAACTTTTTTCATATTTATCATAAAAAAATATTTATTTATCATAGTCCCGTGGGGATCCGGGTTAGAATAGGTCCTCAGTACCCCCTTGCTTGTCGTAAAAGGCGACTAAATGGGGCGGTCCTTCGGATGATACCGCATAAACCGCGAGGCCCCGTGTCACAGCAGAGGCCTGTTCGCAGAGCGAACATTCGCGAGCGCTCGCCAAGGTATAAGGAATTTTGGCAAGCGCTCGCGAACGTTCGCTCTGCTGAACAGGCCTCAGGTGTGGCACTATTCTCTATTGAGAAGTCGATGGCTCGTTTCAATTGAAACGAGCCATCGACTTCTCAATAGAGAATAGTGTGGCACGATAAAGATCCCTCCCTGCTCAAAGGCCGTAAGTGCCGAGCAAAGGCCTAAATTTGCAGCCCTTCACCGGCAATGGTGACGTCTCCATATCAGTGAAATATTCTGGAGAGGGACGTTAAACAGTATACAACCATATTTATCATATATGGATAACGCATTTGTGATAAAATCTATTTTATCAATTCAGAAAATTTGCTTGAACAAACATTTTATAAAAATCTCTAACCCACTCTATAAAATGTGGGGTAGATTTATTTTTAAAAAGAAAACGTCTGTTTAAGGTAATTTTTCGAATTGTTGGTAGGCCTATAGGTTTTTATCACAAATATGTCAATGAAAAAAATTATGAGAAAAAAAGTCGACAAAGCCCAGTCCAGGGGCCTATATCGAAAGAGGGGGGGGGGTGTCCTCAAGCACCTGTGCTCTAAATCCGTCGGTGATAATATTGTTAAAGTTATTTCTTGTGTCAGTATCATACAATGAGTTAAAAAAATATTACTGTTTTATATATTATATTAATTTGTTTCAAGGTTCTGATTATAAGAGAAGAAAGGGTAGGGCATGGTTCTGATACGCTACTCCTATGAGGAGAGTAGAGAATTAGAACCCGTGGCTAGCGAAATATTCCCTTGGTATGTGTCAGTATAGTAGTCATCTTAAATATCAAAATATGAAATATAAATTATGAAAATGTGAAATATTAATTTTTTTTGAAACATTTTTCACAAAGGAAAGGGATTGCCACTTTCTGCGTTTCTGGGAGTGCGCGGATCCAGGATTTTTTCCGGGGGGAGGGTTGATGTTCGTTCGCCCTAAAAAATGTTCGCCCATGACGCCGTTCGCCCTAATTTCTTAAGGATCTAATGAATTTCTTTCCTTAACTTTTTGTATAAAAAGATCAAAGGGAGAGGTTCTTCAAAAACATCATCCGCTGTTCAGTTCCAAAATGGACCTATTAACGCCCCAGTCTTTTGTTTTCAAAACATAGCCGCGGCGCAATTTGTAAAAATAACACGAATGTATCCCTTAATTATCATTGATATTAATCATATTAATTATCTAAACTTTGAAAAGAAATTAAATAGAATAAATAATATATGTTAATATTTAATTCATATAATTACATATAAGTACCTCGAATCAGATATATGGCGAACAAGATATTGGGCGAATAATATTTCGGGCGAACGGACACGATCTGCGCGAACCGACGGACTCCTGCGAACAGATAGATCGGGCGAATCTACCCGATACCTTGTCCACCCCAGTCAAAAGAAAAATTAAGCTCCTACACATTTACTACGCGACAAAGAATTCGAGCAAACGATTGACAAGAGAAAATTCTTGACTTCTCAAAAATATGAGAGATAAATGTATTATGACCTTTTGTGATTTAAACCGACTGAGCCTGATCTCAAATCAACGATCCAATCTCGGATATCAGTGATCACGACATCGTCTTCTCATGTTCCACGCAGACGACCCATCAAGGGAAAGTACTTTTCTGGTGTATTTTTAAAGGGCCGAACCTAATGATAAAAAATATAGAACCAAAGGGAGGGGATCTTGTGAGGTTTAGATGGAAAGAAGATAAAAGATCAGATTTTGTTGAAAAATTTAACTCAGATTATGTAAAAGCATGTTTGTTCTCGTTAGATATAAACTTAAGAAATAGTCATGTAAACAACGCTGTACAGTTAATTACAGATATATTACAATATTGTGCATTAGAAATGAAATGGGATAAGAAACCTATGAAATTAGAGCAGCCTAAATGGTGGGATAAACAGTGTGAAGAAGCTAAGAGAGAAAAGAGTCGTGCACTAAACACATATAGGAAAACAAATTCAGAGGAGGATCTAAACATTTATAAATTACAAAGTATCTTTTAGAGAATCACTTTGAAATTAAGAACCTCTAGTCATTGTTTGGAAATTGAACATGGTCGATTTAAAGGTATTCCTAGAGAAAATAGATTTTGTCTCTTCTGTCAAATAGCAAATAAAAATTGTTTTGAAAATGAAAAGCATTTTGTAGAGAATTGTGAATTATATATGGATATTAGAGTAAACTGTAATATTTTGAAACACTTAAGATTTTATAAAAACACTGTGAATATGCTTATATATGGAAATGATGCAGTGTTAAATGATGTCGCAAAATTTACCTTTTTAGCTTTTAAAGAGAGGAAAAAGTTCATTGAGAATTTAATATGTGATAATTTATAAGTATAGTCTATATGTTTCCATATTGTATACCTGGTAAGCCTGATCTAAAATTGTAAATATAACATTGTAAAATATGAATGTACTTTGGGCCGGTGGCCTACAATACTTAATTCAATAAAAGATTGATAGGTGCTCCCCATGTAATTCTGTAAATGACGAAAGATACGAATATATAGGTCTACGCCTCTATACTAGTAGCCTATAGAGGGGTAGACCTATATATACGTATCTTTCGTCATTTACAGAATTACATGGGGAGCGCCTATGGAAGTATCAAACTCAGCGAGTACATCACCATGCACTGAGCAAGTCTTTTTCTCTGACACTAAAGACCTTAGGGCACCTTCAGAATATTCAATTATGGAAGAGAATGTACTTGTTGAAATGACACCCTCTCGCTTTAGCTAATCCTGGATAAAATCGGACACGAAGTCAGAAAAAAGCTGATTTTTCGTAAAACTCAACAAAGCAGAAATCATAGATAAATATAATAAAATCTGATAGAGCATACAGAGAGAATACAAACGGGATAAAACAAATATGTCAAGAACTATGACAATCTCTACCCCCTACATGCGAGATAAATTATGTTAACATGAAACATAATTATGTATAGATATGATTAAAATATTAAGGTTAAAACATTAAGAGTAAGCCGCCTCTTCACCCTGCGCTCGAAAAAAGAACATTTACAAAAGGATATGACAAAGTCACATAATAACTACTCAGAAAGGATGGTAACGTACGCTTACACTGACCCAAAAGTCAAGGTCTCAATAATGAATGAACAGTACTGCAATTAATTTTTTCATCAAGGACGATCTATGAACACTGAAGTCTGGTTCTTTAAAAAAGATTACTACTATACTGACACCAAGAAAGAATCTAATCCATTGAACAGCAAAGGCCCATACAAGATCTCCAAACAAAGTTACAGATGAGATGTACTTCATTGAGAATCATCGTTGAAGCACCCATTCATCAAGGAAAAATCTTAATGTTTAGTATAACTAATATTTTAACAAACTTATTTTAAAGTACTTGTAGCCCCCGTGACAGCAATATTCAAGAATGGTGGCTGTACATGTACACCGCTGCCCTGATCCATCTCTCTGACATCATTTTGGGTAAAGACACTTGAATACCTAGATACTGTACATAGTCAATTGATTTCACATCTTGAGCAACACAAAATTCTCTCGGAACGATTTTGGAAACTGGTAACAGTACAGAACCTTTCTGGAAGCCTGAAGAAGTCGAGGTTGAAGAACAAATTGATGCCATACTCTGTGGTTTCAGTTAGACAACAAAAATTACTACTAAGCAACTAGAGCTGACGTTCCACTAGCATGAGGGATTCTCTGCTACCTGAATTAAGAGCTTCCTGATCGACACTTGCCAGATATCAACATATCGGAGTCAACATCAATTATCATTAGGGTGTCATGGAGGAGTAAGCATCCCCTGTCGACCATTCTTGAACCCTGTCCGAGGATATAAACCAGGAAATATGTACAGTCTATAGCTATCTTTTACTAATTATGTCTGACTGTTATCTGTGTATTTAATTTATCTTTCCTTTGTCCTACCATGACAAGTGTATATAGACCTGTGAAAGTTTTTATAATTCAAACCCCCATTGTAGAAATTGGTTCTCACTTTTGATATTTTATTTTCTTTACTTGTTTGTTTCTACATTCAGCGATAAAAAGATTGTCATTTGTATCTGTACACAGTCCATGGGGATCAATCAATCTACAGTTTAAATAACGGAGAAACACTCCATCCTGGTCTATAATGTGGATACAATCATTATAATAATCAATTGTAAGGATGTGACTCTGACTGTCTGTGGTGATTCCTCGTGGAAAGAAAGGTTTGTTTTTTGGAGCAGGGGTATTTCCAGTGTACATGAATCTCAGTTTCCCGGCTTTATTGACCACTACTACTCTTTTTGCTCCCCAGTCAGCCACAGTTATATCGAGGTTCTTGTTCTCATTTATGTCTTTGTTACTAGGACCACAGGAATATAGAGGTTTCCCATCATCATCAAACTGAATGCTTTGCTTTTCTGTGGATTTAGAGTAACGAACAAGTTTTGATTGGTTGTCATCATCACTGTACATGATAACCAGGAGGTCACCAGAAAAAGAGCTACAAACTCCGTTAATTCTCCAGTTCTCTAGTCTGATTACCTCTTCTATATCTTTATTCTTCACAATGTTCACAGTCCTGTCCCTGTGATCGGTATACAGGAGACCCCCACTTTGATTCACGGCTATGTGAGCTTGGGAAAATGATGACTTGGTTGTGATTGATTTGAGTATTGATCCCTGATTGATGCTGAAGAGTTTCATAACGCTAATATCTCCACTTGTCCAGATTTCTTCCTCATTCAGACAGGCCACATTGTCAATGTAATATTTATACTTTGCGTCTATGATGGTGACAATCTCTGGTTCATCAAGCAGCTGTTTGACTGGAGGAGAGGATCCAGCTTCTGGTGATTTCTGTATTGTCTTCATGCTGTAGCCATGTTCATCGGATGTTATAGAACTTGATGATAAGTTTCCAAATAGATCAACATTTTCTCCTTGGATTCTTTGTGGTGCAAATCTAGGTAAAGTCAGCACAATTTTTGGTGGAAGCTGTGAATATTGTTCAACATTAAATTTAATGTTAAAAAGTTTAGAAATGTCATTAGACTCAACAGCATCCTCAAGTGAATTGATTTCATCCTTGATGTTAGACATTGTCTTGTTTATTTCATCCAGATGTTTCTGTAGAGTTTGTAACTGTGTATTTTTCATCTCATCAACTTCAGCTTTAAGTTTCTGGACAAGTTTGTCAATTTCTCTGTGCCAGTCCTCTCCATGTTTTGTTATGGCTGTTGAGAGATCTCCATATTCCTTTTCTAACTGACTCATTCTGTCTCCTACACTAGAGGCAATGTCCTGATAGGTTGGATAAATTATATCATATAATTCAGTTAGTTCTTGGATGAACTTATACCTCTTTCTATTTACAAGTTGTAACATGTATGATAATTTGTGACCTATATGTTGATCAGTTGAAATGCACTTAGTGCACAGAGGAATGTCACATTGTTCGCAGTAAAGTTGGCATCGTTCTTTGTCATGAGTTAGACATTTAGGATAGAGGGGGGTAGACTTTCTATCCTTGAAGTCAACAATTTTGTGAGTTTTTGAGAAATCAGCAGAAAAATGTTCTCCCAAACAGGCCTTACACAGGTTAACTGTACATATATCACAATGTATTTCTACCACAGCAGTCTCACACAGGTCACATCGCATCACGTCCTGGGCAGTGTTTTGGGAATACATTACTTCATGTATTAGCTCTAAAAATAAAATTACAACAGTACAAATACATGTTAGTCATTCATATAGAGTATCAAAGTATGTTTCAAAAGTTGCAAGATAACTACACTTAAAGTTTGAAGAATCCTGTAAAATTTACCTGGATTTCTTTTAATTTACTAATTCTATAAACATAGATACGTGTTCATGTTTTAAGATAGCTCATTGACAGATTTGACGATATGTCTGACTTTCAATGATGAATAATAATTGTTTTTAACACGAGAATATTCCTTATGTCATCAATATATAATAATAATAATAATAATTAATAATATTCAATCACAGAAATTTGTTCTGTGCTTTGATGATTTGAAGAAGATAAATTTTTTCACGGTAAAATTTACCGGTAAGTAAACAATTATACAGCATATTGAATCTTCCATCTGATCTGAAATAAAACTACAGCTGACTTGACACAATATTATCAGGGTTGAAAACGGATACAAGTTGCGTAATATTCAGGTTATTTAAGTTTGACTGGACGATTTGCAGACCTACCCAGCTAACACAAAAACATTTTTAAAATGTTTTTAAAACATTTTCAAAATGTTGCGAAAACATTTTTAATAATGTTTTAATCACGTGATTTTGTATGGTTTTTTAAACGTTTTTAAAACATTTTTGTGAAATATTTCAGCAAAATGTTGTCAGAACATTTTCTTAAAATGTTGCAAAAACATTTTGAATAATGTTTTAATCACGTGAATTTGTATGGTTTTTTAAACGTTTTTAAAACATTTTAGTGAAATGTTTCAGCAAATGTTTCCGGAACATTTTCTTAAAATGTCACATAAACATTTTACAACAATGTTTTAATCACGTGATTTTGTATGGTTTTTTAAATGTTTTTAAAACATTTTACAAAATATTTCAACAAATGTTATCATAACATTGTTTTTAAATGTAACAAAAACATTTTCAAAAATGTTTTATTCACGTTTAATTTGTTTGTTTTTTAAAACGTTTTCAAAACATTCAAGTCAAGATTACAAAAGTATTTTTCCTGAAATTTTTACTTTATATCATTAAATAATGAAATATTTATATTTAAAAAAAATAAACACAAATTATATTTAATTTTTGAATCTTTAATACAAACCCATATTCAATATGTTAACCACATTTTAATTCCATTCTCGGTACAAGTTTAATTTATTTTCTTTCAAGTCACCGGGTTTTTAAAGGTTGGAAACGGCGTCTAATCCATTCACTGAATTTTTAAAGAACAGAATCACAGAAATCCTATGTTCACTGTTTACATGGTTTAGGTAGAACAGAGCGGCGGATCTATAAGACTTAGTTAGAATCGCATACACTGAAAAAGCTGATAAGGAATCCCCCCTCGGAGAGAATAGCACAATCTGTAAAGATAAGGAAAATTGTGTTTGTATCAGCGTTCTTAAGATAATCAATGGAAATATACAAAAAATATTTTAAATAATTATATCAAATTTAAGTTCTTTCCTCATTTGCATTGAAAAAAGCAGAAAAATAATTACTATGACAATATTATTGAAGAGTAATAGTATTTACTTACACCTTTGCCTTCACCAAAGGCGGGTCTTTTGAATGTGGGAATTTGAAAATACGGATGATGCAACCAACACCATGCTGTAAAGAAATTTCATTTTTAAATCAAAATATTGTTTGATGATTAACATTTCACAAAGACAACGAATACTTGAAACAAAAATTTATTATAAATTGTGTTGCCTTAAGATTGAAATATTCAAAATCAAATACATGTATATGTCATTGCTTCATACATTTGTACAAAGTTATTGATTATCACTGGTAGTATAAAAGAAATTTTAAATGATCTTTTAAAGTCTATAATAAAGGAATAATTCTTACCATTCAAAGTTAATAAATCCCGAGGTTATTGTCGTGGTTTATATGGTGCAAAGTCTTCTCATTCAAATCGGCACGGAGTAAGCGCGCACATCTTGTTTACCAGAATTCAAAATTTGGCCTAGATAAGCAGCAAACCACTATACTCTGTAACGCGCTGCCCAGCAGGAGAATTTGCATAAGAGGTTATCAAGACACTGAAACTGACCAGTGTGCCAATCCCTATCTAACGCCTCAGAGTAAAATTCTGGGAGTGGATCACAGATTTGCTGAAGAACATTATTTTTTAAAAAGACATTAAGAGTTTTATTTAATGCTTATGATTTTATACATTTATTTACATTTGAAATTTTTTTGTTTGCCTATCCTTTCATTTATTGATTTTTGATTTGTTTTATCAAACGACTTAATATAAAATTATGTCTGCTTTATCAATAAGCCAAAACAAGAAATCATTATAAAATACCGGAAAAAATCTTTCAATTAAAAAATTTCAAACTACAATTCCTCAATTTAACACTATTCTTTCTATATTTTCATTTTTTTTCTTCATAAACTAAATTTTAGAAAAATCGCAATAATACATTATTTGAATGTTTAAAGAACATTTTGAAAATGTTTCTAAAAAATGTCAAAACTATAATTAAAATGTTTTAATTGTAGTGAAAATAATTATTTTAGTTAATGTTTTAAATAAACATTTTCACTGCCTAGGCCCAAAAATATCCGGAATTGAATGTTTTTAACTAACAGCGATATTTAGAATGTTTAAAAAAAATTTCAAATGCCCCTTACAAATGTTTTAGAAACGTATAATGATGCAATGTTTTCGATTTACAGAAAAAGAATGTTTCTTTTCATGTTTTAAGAACGTTTTTAAAACGTTTTATAAGATCTTTGATATTTGGAAGCTATAAAAACCCCTAAATGAATTGAGAATGTTTCAAAAACATTTTGATAACGTTCCTTTCAAATGTTTCAGAGACGTATTTATGCAATGTTTCAAATTTATGGAAAAGGAATGTTTCATTTCATGTTTTAAAAACGTTTTTAAAACATCATATAAAAATCTTTGATATTTGAAAGCTAAACATGCCTTTTCAAACATTTTTAAAACGTTTTAAAAATATTTTAGAAAAATGTTCCAAAAGGATTTAATCATAAGCTTTTTGAAAACATTTTTAAAATGTTTTTAAAATGTTATAATGAGAAAAGGAAATGTTTTAAAAACATATTTAAAATGTTTTGTCTGAAATGTTTCGAAAAAACCTTTTTACAACACCAATAAAATGTTTTGAAAATGTTTTGTGCTACCTGGGTAGATATAACCTAATAATGTCATGCAAATCAATATTTGGTTTAACATGCTGTTAAAGTGCCTTTCTTGATTTAAATTCCACTCTGAGATAGTTTTCATATGCATGTAATAAAATTGAGAATGAAAATTTAAAAAGATGACTCATGAATATAACCTTACTGTCAACAGTTATGGCGGCTTTCCTTTTGAGCAAATCTAAACAAAATACCTATCAATCGGAACTCTTCGGATGTCTCACAAACTCTAAAAAATTATTATACTGAGTTCGCGAAACATCCGAGGAATTCCGACTGAATACCCTATACCTGTTAGGAATTATACTTCCTGGTTGTCATTTGAGTGCATTTAAAGGGACCTGGAAACAGTTTTTAAAAAATGTATTGTTTATATTTCAAAGGAAGGATGTGACACATGACCCCTGGTAAATTGACAAAAAATTAAATGTCCAAATTTTACTATAATTTTTGCATGCAATCACTGATTTGTGAACCATAACGGAATACTACTTTAACCAAAAATAGAAGCATAATTTGGAAGACATAGATCTTTCTTTGGGGTAGGGGTACCATTGTTACATCTTATTTCAACTGAACTTTGGCCCCGCCCCAATCTTTGATGCCCTTAAAATATATGAGCGCAAAGAAGTACATATTTTTCTCCTTGGGCTAGTCACTGTATTTTATCTAAATCAACCTACATCTGAAAGGAGAAAACTTTACCTAATTGCGCTGATGTGTTTTTTAAAAAATATTGGAAATTCTATCTGACCTTTCCCATAATGAACAGAACAATTAGGGACAGCCTTTTTTCTGACGTAAAAATAAATTCATATGCTAATTGCGGCACCGGGTTGACTTTCTAACCGATTTGATTTATTATATTATTTTATAGTTTTGTAAGGCGATTAATGGACAAATGGCTATATATAAGTATTCCCGAGTATCATTGTTCAATACAAATTTAACGTGCATTGCTTGGTCCAAAACGATAAACTCTGAGGTTCCATGGGTTTTGTAATGCATAAAAAGGCTTTTGTTGACCATCTAAAGTTTGAAACATTAGTGGAAAAAATGTAATTGACCTTAACCTCGTGTCTTTGATAAAATATAAACATCCAATCGATTAATCGTATAAACCTAAACATTAGATAGTTATTCCTTACACCAATTTTAACGTTGTTGCACGCACGTTGAGATGTCTTCACGTGACTGAAGCATGCTGCTCCTGAAAGCTTTATGAAAACTTTGGTTAGTGGTTTTCGATTAAAACAATCTGACCTCCAATGACCTCTAATGAAAAAATATGAAGATAACAGTTAACAAGTTCAAATTATATTTAAACAATATTAATTAGGAGCAGAGCAAACACGGATCTCCAAAACATCAGGGATGGAATCCGGTGCAATGGAGGAGTGGGCGTCTGCTGCCGACCGCTCATAGCCGCCTTGTGCTTCTTGTCATGATTGGGAAAACCGGACAATCCGCAAAACAATTCAGTGTGTAAACAATGACCTAATAATAAGTATTAAAAAGTAAGTGCGCAATTGACTTATAATGAAAGGTTGTATTTGCTGACATTAGTGCGTTACAACTTATGATACACAGGAAAGTTGCTCCATAAGTAAGGGAAATTGGTGATAGAAAAGTTTATTTAAAAAAACCCTAGATCCTGGATGTTAGATGACACCAAGAACGTCTTTATCTAGTTAAATATCCAAACATGATAGAAATGTGTCTGACCTGGTGGTTTCTATCATTTCAGACTCACCAAGATATTAATATCAACTATAATCAAGTCGAAATATAAATGCAGATAACTATTGTTAGTTGATAGTAGTACTACATCGTATACATTAATATCTGAATTTCGAGTTGAAAGCAACAGCAAGTGTTTTTTTTTCTAATGTAGAAGTTTTAATCAATTTTGCTTTCTATCAAAACAAAATAGGTCTGCTTATCACACGGCAAAATTTGCACCAATGGGAATTCAAACATATTAATGGAAGACCTGATCTCCAAAATTAACACATATATTGTCAATTAAAAAGATTTTTTTAAAATATCAACTTAGGATACTTGTATGTACACTAAAAAAATTAATGATTTTTAGCAAAACAAATTTGCAAATGATTAAAGGTCGCCTGCTTGAAATAAAGATACCACAGAGTCAGGCCGAACTATTCATATTTGGATATTTTTATAGAAGAAAAGACGTTGATGGTAACATTACAAAAAAGTTTTATTATAAACGACCACGAAATCAACTTTTCACTTATCAACTTACCATACACAGGAAAAATGTCCACATGTGTTAAACATATGTTTGGTTTCACATGTGTTCAACATATGTTTTATACATGTAATACATGTGTGTAAATAAACACATGTAAAATATGTGTTTCATTTATATGTAAAACATATATAATATACACATGTTAAACACCTGTGAGAAAATACATATGTTAAACACATGTTTTTCACCACACATGTATAACACGTATTATATATATGTAATATATGTGTGCGAAAATACAGATGAATTATACATGTTTAATATATATAAAATATATGTGTATCCATATACACATGTTATACACATGTTAAGTTTTATCTCATATGTGTGTGTACAATAATTCAAAAGAATTTGTACATGTTAGTAAAATTTTACTCATGTAAAGTTTTACTTTTTTTACCCCCCCCCCCCCCTTTCCCTTCTAAAAAAAAAAAACTTTCACAATTTTTTTCTGTAATAATGCATTTATCAGACAAAATTGATAAAGAATGAATTCATTTTCTTTTCATTTTAAATCTTATGGGCTTGGCTTACTTCTTGAGTAAAATTAAAATAATTCCGTATTTGTCTCCGGGCCGGTTTTGTCTTTTATCGGATGAAAATGTACGTCATTTTTGACGTCACTGCTGCAGCAGACGTGCTGGGTGTATTGGAAAGGTAAGTGATCTCCAAACAATTTTTAAAAGACTTTTAATTCATATTTTAAATATCATTTCATTATAGTTACAGGTGCGTATAAACTTTCTACTCTTATCATTGTGACTTGTCATGCATTTCGTAAGCCTAACGATAGACATACCGTGATCTGTAAGTAATTTTGGTGAAAAATGTTTCTGACTGAATGTAAGCACGGGCACTGGAAGTTAATGTAAATATATAGTATGTGTATGTATAAAAAAGACCCTTCTTTTTTTATACATACACATACTATATATTTATATTAACTTCCAGTGCCCGTGAATGTAAGCGGTTGACATGTTAGGCTAAACATGCTAAAGGCATTACTATTTTTTATAGTTTGTATACAGGTAAGTAATTTTGGAAAAATTTGTTTCTGAATGAACGTAAACATTACATGTTAGGCTTATTTTTAAAAGGTATTATCATGATTATTGGTTTTCCTTTTGTTACGTACTGATATGAAAGTGAAAGTAGAAACCTTGAAACCATTGTGACTGTTAGTTGGTGTTTATGTATGTTGAGATGGCTGTCAAGTCGATTCTTTCATCAACTTAATAACAAGTGTTTGTTTTTATGGCCTATAGATGCATGCAGTAACTTGAGTTCAGTGTCACATTGCTGCGTCTAAAAAGTCCAAAGCTGATAAGACTGGCGATTGATCCTAAAGCTGATTTGACAGAAGATTGCATCTTCACAATATTAAAGGTAAAAATAAATACTTGCAATAAAAAATCAAAGTAAACATCTGTAATGACTCCTTCATGACAAAATATTTCTTGATAATTTCTTTTTGTTCCTTTATAATTCTACATTATATTGTTTGCACGACTTCATAAATAATAAGTCCAACTCAATACTACAATAATTTTATTCTATATTATAAAACAGTTTTAATCCAGTACACTTTTAAAATATGGAAAGTATGAATAGAATTTGCTGGCTTTAAAAGCTATGAAACTGGTACATGTTACAGTGTACTGTAAATGACTTCAGGGGGGGGGGTATTGAATTTTGAATTTCAGTTAAAAATTAATAATAACAGTGACATCCAACTTTCAAGGTACAAGTACATGTGCATATGTGTTGATTGTTGAAAGTACATCAGCTAGCTATAATCCATTGGATATTTACATCTATTATGTACCGGTATTCATTACCTGACATTTATTATTTTTTTCCAACACTAGAGAACATAGTTTCTGGTAAAATGTAAGATATTAATTAAGACTATTAAGAACCTATAAACATGTACTCTCTCTTTTTTGTAGTTGTAGTTTTGTAGTTTAATTATGTTTTAGTTATGCTTAGAAGATATCTACTGCATGAATATTTGTTTTACAGGTTCAATATACAGTCAGCGTCTCATAAGAATAAATCCCAAGATCCAAGACTTGCTTAAAAGCTTAATCAAGGTAACTACACACTGTTAAATAAACTTTGTTATATTCTTCCCAACAACGTTTGGGATATCCTGGAATCACACTGTCTTTTTTTCTGCCTGTCTACTTCTCTGTAGTATTTTTTGTCCAAAAATAAAATATTTGTGTCAGAATCTTCTTAATTTTTGGCAACATGAATTAGTAATACTGTTTGAACATTCCAAACTTATTTGTCAAAAAAAAAAAATGCTTTTTATGACTTTATTATGAAGCATATCTTCCAACAGTGTAATTGTCTTGCAAATTACATCATAGGATTCCACAAAACACCTAGTATAGCATATATAACATTAGTTTTATCTCTTATCATATCTCTGTTGGTGAATTGGGCATACATTTGTTTGCTGAACTTTAATATTACTTGTAGAATTGATTTTGTAATTTAAGAATTGTTTTATTTTTACTTTTGAAATTTTGTAGAGACCATTATGTGCCACAAAGAAATTGTTCAGGAAAGGGAGAAATGGTGGATTTGCATTTCGGGTACAGTTCAAAGAGAGTTCAAAATGGTCAAGCTCATGGAAGATCAGAGGGAGGACAACTGAAGAAAACTGAAAGATACAGAAGGAAAAAGAACAAGAAAATATATGAAATAATTATGAAATTGAGAGGATGTACACAATCTTGTCTGCATTTGACCTGTAAAGATTTAATTCCCATTCTTATTTGTATGCTGTAATATCAAATAACTTGATTTTTCATAAATTTACAATAGAGAATACATGTCAAATGTTATATGTGATATTTCAATTTTGCTTTGGACACTTTCATGTCAAATCATATAAATTATAAAAAAAGTACATGGACTTATTATGTTATTCATTTGTACATGTATGCATGTTTAACTATTTAATCATTTTGTGGAAATCTTATAATTGTACTCAACTTAGAATATGTAAAATATATGTATCGACAAATGCTACTGACTTGTTTGTATACTTTCCTGCTTAGAAAGTACACTGAAAAATAAGTTATTTCTCTTGATGAAAATAATTTATCAAAAAAGTTGTGTAAGCATTTTAAGATATTAATTTTCAAATATTTAACCCATGAAGATACACTGTAGATCATTGGAATGTAATAGATTTTCATCTAAAGCAGAAACATCTGATTTTTAAATGTGTACAAGAATGTGTTTTTCCTTGTGATAAATATTGAAAGAGAACACATGTAACTATTTCATATGATTTACATATGCTGCCCTTTTCATATGATTCACATATGTGGACAGACATGAAAAAAGTATAAAAATGATAATAAGTACAACAGTAATATTATACACGTATAATTCACATATAAAGTATAACATATATAAAACACATGTTTAACACATGTTTCATATGTATAAATATACATTGTGTTTATTTTTACACATGTTAAACACATGTGAAACATATGTTTAACATGTGTAAAAATAAACACCCTATACATGTGTGCTCCTTTTATGTGTTTTACATGTGTAAAAAATATATGTTAAACATATGTTTAACATATGTTCAACACATGTGGACATTTTTCCTGTATAATTGTGAGGAGTTATACTGCATCCGACATTTGCCACTCTGTTGATTCAACATGCAAAAGCATGCTCTACATATGAACAAGCTATTGACAAACACATTGATGAGCAAAAATTACAATAGCCTCGTTTAAAATCATTATTTTGCAGGTTCTATGTTCGATCCAATGACCAATCTATTTTAAAAAATATGTCAAATGCAGGAAGACGTTTTCACATTAATTATTAGGCCATTATTAATATACTGAATTGTTTACGGATTTCCCCCCGTTTTTCCCGATCATGACAAGGAGCACACTGCGGGTGTAGCCGGTCGGCAGGGGATCAACATTCATCCGTGCCACCTGACACCCCCCCCCCCCCTCTGATGTTTTAGAGGTCCGTGTTTGCTCCGTTTCTGATTGGTATTGTTTAAATGGATTTTTGAGCTAAAAACTGATCGTTATCTCCATATTTTATTCACTTGCTGCACACATTGAACTTGAGATACCATATAGATACAACATGTACCTTTACAAAAATGAGCCATAGACTGACAATTCAACTCGAAGTTCAAGTGCACTTTATTCGCCCAAACTAAAATATTGGTATATGGGGTTAACATGGTAAAAACACACTGAATTCTCCTGAAAGAAATGCATAATAATAATTTCTAATAATTCCAGTATCACTATTCATTTTAGCTTTGGTGGTTGTGGAATCCTATTTCTAACAATAATTAACTTTAATATGATAAAAAAGCAAGTAAATCGCGTTCTTAATTTCTGTTAATATATATTTTTTTATAGGCAAATACATGAACTATAATTACGAGTATACATATACAAAAAAACATTCTTCGAATTATGATATTTGCACTGATGCTAAAGCTGGCTATAATAGCTTCGTTCCTTGGAACACCTTTTAAAGTTAATTTGGGTGAAAAATATTTGAACGCTGACCTGGCTTTAAAATAAAAAAAATAATTTTAAGATCTATGTCGGTTTAATTTGAATACTTAGTATATTTAAAATAAACACGTGGGAATTAGCTAATATATTACAGTGTAAAGTATCGCTCTGCTAAAATTCTAACAACTTCCCATGCGAGGTTACCTTACATTTTCCCTGTTTAAAACATTATTTGCAATTTACAATTAAGAAGACTATCAGAGTACATGTATAATCTTCTTTGTAAAAAAAAGTTCAATGCTCTGAACTAGGAAGCATTTTCCATTGAATATTATAATTTTGTGGGACTATGAATTAACTAAACGAGATAAATAAAACTGGAGAAACGTAGAAAAGGGCTAGAAAAATAAACCCAGCATGTCAAGTATTTTAGGGGGATAAATTTAAATAATTATTCTATGAAAAAAAAATGCTATTTTTTTTTTTATTTTTGCTTAATCTAATATTTAAAATATATGAAACACAGAATACAAGTTCCTTAACTTTATTGTATAAAATATAAATAATGTCAGTGGAGTATGTGTTTATTGCTGGATGGGAACATCCTCGATAGTGTATATGGATAAGGATCCCGTGGATTGACCAATGACGTAAATGTATGGAACACCTGA